CCCTGTGCATCACCCAAGCCCTAGACAAGCACAGCGTTGACTCGTGAAGTTCCAGGAAGCGGAACAGCGATCCCTCAGGCGGCGAACAACAGGGCTGGTGGCTGGTAGCGGCCTGTGGCAGGTGGCGGGTGGCGGGTGGCGGGTGGCGGGGTGCGGGGGGCGGGTAGGCGAGTCAGTTTAAAGGCCCCGCCGCCTTCCCACGCTATGCATTAGTCATATTCACTGTCGCAAAAAAGAATAGTCCACTGTCGCAAAAAGAAATATTCACCTTAAAAAAATGGCAATGATTTCATCAACTTCATTGACTGCATCTACAAGTTAAGAGCTGTGGACTACAACGACCATTGAAATGATATCAGATTGCAACCGGCAACAGGATGATGTACAAGCTGTGAAATTAAAAATGAAAAACATCAACAAGAGGACGTATTTACAACTAAGCGTCCAAATACACAGCCAGAATTCTGGCTGGTAATCACCAGCAGCAAGAGTGCTTGCAAAGCGATTGAGTTCTATAGCAGTGCCTTGGATTGATGCGATTGGCAATGGACACCGATTGTATAGGCAACATAAAACGTATCCATATATTAGGTTGGAAGATACATGGTTGGGTCGATGTGGCCGGCAAGGCACAAAGGCAAGTTGGGTTTGATTCCCCAATTACACAAGCTTGAATTCCCTTATGTACCCAAGCTTGCGCCCCCGACAACTACTTCATTAAATGGTAGCCAAAATGAACTACACTTGTGTGAGCTTCGTTTCCCAATGTCATAATCTCCCGGTTCAAGATCCTTCCATTGTCATCGATTGTGAGCAGCGACATGACACAATGCAACATAAGTCAAACGTTTTGTTTGACCTTTGTGGCAACCTTCTATATAACAAGCCTGCTATTCTGGTGAATAACAAAATGCGGGCATCTGGGAATGCTAAATGTTTAGTACGGAATGCTGAACTCTAATGTTACGTGTTATGTAGCAACGTCCTCGGCAGATTACTCAACTAGTGCAAACAATCCTAGTTCTGTCGTCTTTGTGATTTGAGGGCCCCAGGGGTAGGAATAGGAGTTGCTTGCATATGAGCCTCCCGGAGCTTGACAACCGGCTCAAAGGCGCCCCTGCTGGCTGTGCCCAAGGACAACCCCCAACGCCGATCCTGCGCGCAAGTGGTCAGCCAGGGGAAGACAAACGAATCTCTGAGGCGTCAGGAGCTCGCAGAACAAGTGTCCGCCACGCACATCTGCAACAGAATGCAGAATTGAATTGAAATCGAAAGTCGGGGAGCCAAGCTGGCATGAACAGTGCAGTGCAATACACTCAGCGGCTTATCAAACACAAAGTATCCGCGGAAGCCACGCAACAGAGGACTTTCCGACTTACCCATTTTGAGCTCGATTTTGATTTTTCGATTTACCGATTTGCCGACATCGATTTTGAGCCCAAACAGGGCTGCCACGCAGTACTTACGCGCAGGCGCCCCTGCCAGCAACGCCCGCGCCAACCCAAGCTTTCGCCACCTTTGCCACTCCAGCCCACTCTCCCCCTCCCTCCCTCCTTCGCCTTCCCAGCCATGGTGCGGAGGCAATCCGAGGGCACGGCCGCCCAGGACGAAGTGCGCCGGCTGGCATTCCTGCAGGCCCTGCTGGCGCGCGGACTCATGAGAAAGGACGACGCGATGCGGCTGATGGCGGACCTGGGGTCGGCCCCGCAAGAGTCCGCTTTCGACGCCTTGCTGGCGTCCATCAACGGCGGCATCATGGCGGACAGCCTGGAGGTTCGGACCGCCCAATCGCTGGTGAGTCGCCGCTGCGGGCACATCGTCGCTGGCGCGACTCAATCGCAAGTTGCTTTGCCGACGCGGAGCGGGAAGTCGAGCGCCACGCTCAGGGCGGAGGCGCCAATTGATTGCAATATTTCTTCTCTCTTTGCGTTCGCCGTTGGATGGACTCACCCGTCAGCGACCACAGGCGTCATGGTCAAATGGTTTTTGATGGCCAGCTACGGTGCTCAAGCGATCAAGCTCTGGGTGGCCGACCGACCACTTCTTCCAGTTTGCTTGATTCTCCCACTTGTTTGTCTATTATTGGAAGTCAGAGGGAGCAGGTGGTCTCCTAGCATCCATTCTTTAGCTGTACGGTCATCCATGTATATTCATGCGAGCTTTTGTACGATCTTTGACATCATTCCTTTTGTGCCTTTTCTACGTCTCATTTATTTCGCAGGTTGATGGCTCTTTCTTTGTTGGTTTGGTGAACAAGGTGGGTAGCCTGCCTGTCAAGCACAATGAAGCAACTGCCGCAATTGTCACATCTCACAAATTTGGTTTCTGTTCTGTATGGAATTCTCTCCTTGTTACTGTGCAGCTGACTTTGCGCTCCTGCCTGCCTCCTATATGAGGAGCTCCGTGCTGTTTCCCATCGTTATCAGGTACTGATGTGAATTCTATGCCGAAGAACGAAAGCTCTTGGTAAATGGTGTACCATAAGCCCCAACTGGTTTGGATCAATGTGAAGATTTGCCAGCTTGCCAGCAGGCAGGGCGATCGCCAGCAGCACAATTCGGGTTCGACTGCAGCCAAAATGAGTAGCGCTGACTGCAGTGACCTTGTTGCCTTTCATGTGCGCAGTGTTTATTTGCCCTGTGTCTGTACGAAATCCAGGTCGGGGATTGCAGCTGCCCTTGCATTTGTGCCCTGTGCAAGCAGAAAGGGCTCTGTATGCACCATTGGGGAATAGGCACACAACATGAATGTACAACTGTAGGGCATCGCCTGAGATGTGGAAATCCTTCGTTTGCCATGCAAAGGGAACATTCTTATGCAAGAGGATTGGCTATGCCCAGGCACTGTGCTGAACATTTTGAAACTCTGAAATTTTGCTCAAACGTCCCTTCAAAGGCAAGCCCATCGCTCTGCATCTTGAGACGAAAATTGTGGATTACCATTCGTTCATGGGGGTGTCAATAAGTGCTGACTTGTGCGATATGTTACTGTGTCGTTCATGAGGATGGGGAAGATGCAGCGTCCAAAGTGGGCACAACATACTCCCATCCTGAAAGGGAATTTTTAAAGGACTTGGTGAGTGTGTATCAATTTCCTCTCACTTCTGTTCAGAGTCGGCATGGAAATGCAGGAAAACTGTGCCATGGCCTTGCATCTTAAATAACAACATCCAATACGAATGCATCAAGTCCGTCTTCACGTCAGTGGTTGCAATCCATATGCCGCACACCCAAAATTTGGTGAGGTCTCATTTAACAGGAGCCGGGACAAAGAGATGGGATGCAGAAGCCACCAGCGAGAGCACTGGGCAAGGGTACTCCTCCTGTTGTATGGGCAAGCGAATCGCTGCGTTCACATAGCTGTGGGGATCAATGCACATTTGCAGTGCCTCACAAAACAACTGTTGCTAAGTCACAGCCTGCTGTTGTCATCCCCTCTTTACTGACACCCCAATTTTGGTACACATTGAATGGAACATCTGCACTGATGTTGCTGAGGAGTGCGGTCCTTTTGTCAAAACATGTGTGAGACCTACAGACATTCAATTATCTTTGGTATGCAATTGATTCTATGTTATACAAACACATGGCAAGCCATGCCCTTGCACCTGAAAGCCGATGATGGGCCCATTAATGTTGACTTGCAGTTGCTGGCCCACATTGCAGGTCTGCACTTGTGTGTTAAGAATGTTTTCGCAGTTGAGGAATATGCGCATACTGCATGACGGCTTCTGATACTTTGATACACTTTTGTTGTTGAAGATTCTGGAGTTACAGACAGTTGAACGGAACCAAGCTGTGCCCGTTTTATGTGACGAAGGCAAATGCCTGGGTTGCGATTGCTGCAGTACTCCCTTTTCTGTCCTGTGCATGGGGAAGTTGTACAGCGACTGGACGGTGTGCATTCTTCTCAGCCATCTGTTTTTGGTACACCGATCACCTTGCTGTTTCTTCTGTGGTGCCACAAGGCCCACATATCTTCTGACAGGACAAGAGCAGCATCCAGTCTCCTAAACGTGATGAACCAAAACTTGGGGATAAGAAACTGACAGGTTGGACAAGGATAAATGCAACATCATAGCAGCCCATGTCTGAATTCCTTGAATTCCATTGGTTAAAAAATGACACAGCATGGCCCTTGTCAGTTGATGATGGGCATACGACATGTACCAGAATTTAACAAGTCGCTGCCTTGTGCCCAGTAGGCGATTTGGAGCACGTCTGTTCTGCACTGGAGGCGATGATGCAGAAGAATAAAAGGGCAGCATGGACTGCACGCAATAAAGAGCGAACATGTAACAGCAAAAAAAACAGCAAAGCATGCACTACTGGTGTATGTTTGTGCTTACTCATACATCTGTGGTGCTATATTTTGTATGTTTGCATTTGTTCGTGTGGGCATACATCTGTGCTTACTTACCTGCACCCTTCTCATGTGCCTGTCATCCCAGATTAAGACACTGGCCACAGGCACGCACCCTGAGCGTGGGGGGAGCATGACTTCCAGCGATGCTCTGAATATGGGGTTGATGGATTTCGGCAACGACGAAGTGCCAGCCTACTGGAAGAAGTTATCCAAAAAGGAGAGGGAAATGGCACTGCGGAAGTTTATCGAAGATGGGTATCTCGAGTGTCCCCAGCAAGGAGTTTTCTCTCTGGGGGTACGCAAGCATTTTCGTGACATTTGTGCAGGACTTGCCGAACTTCTAAGAGCAGTAGCGATCGCCTGACGTTGTATGCAGTGCAAGTTTTATCTGCACAGCTGAGTTCCGGGTACAAGAGTCAAAGCTGGCTACCACTACCACTACCAGTTTGCACCTTGTGGGTAAACGACAATACCAAGTTGTGGCAAAGAGTCTGAGAAATCTCGATCTCCTGTCGTCAGCCTTCGAGACGAGTCCTGATTTCAGAGTTCTGGAACCAGTGCACACACCTACAACTATGTCTTACAGACAATCTTCTCATCGACGCATAACATTTTCTGCCTTGTGTGGAAATACCGAGTTGGAGCTTCTACTGATAGTCGCTCTTTTTGTGCTGCAGGTGCGCACCTTGCTTGAGCTCAACAACTTCATAATGCAAATGGATCTGCCCCCTGACAACAGAGAAGCATTTGAGAAGTTTCTGTAAGGCCTGAAAGAGGAAACCCGGATCTTGAGGTGGTTGTCTCCCTGGCCTGTTTGCGAACCTCATAGATTGAGCTGGCACTGGCACTCGAATCGTCTAGGAACCTTCGCATATCCAACAGCATGCGCAGAAATGAGCTTGATTGCGCTTCAAATGGACAAATTCCACCAGGAGAACTGATGCATGCGTATAGAACAGAGAAGAATAGAAAATGTGGAGAGGAGAGAAATAAAAATAGCGAAAAGAGCCACCCCATTGGAGGAAGTTGCCATTTGTGCGAAGACTGGCATTCCCACTGTCGTTCATCTGTCATTCATTCGAGGCACAGTGGGAACTGGGCTGTGGAGTTGACGTTTGATATTGCTCTCTGCACGAATTGCAAGCTTTTGGGGAAAATTGGTGTTTAATGCGATATGGTACAAATGCAGCCGTTGGCTAAGTTCATTTGTCCAAATGTAAATTGTCCTTCTCATGACGAGCTGGGCCCTTAAACCTTGCAAACGACGATGGCCATGCACAAACCCAAAAACAATTTCTGTCGTTCGTTTATTTACTCTAATTGCTCCCCACTTGTCTGTAATGTGTACAAACAGTGTTCAATGAAAGGAAAAAGAGAAAGTTGAAATCCGAGATGTGGCTATATCCATGCAACCAGGGCCAGCCTTATCTCTATTTCTTCAAAGCGCTAGAAGCTCATAAGCTGCACCAGAGCAGCACGTGTGTACAGGAGTGCCTTTTGGCAATACCAGTTTCACGTTGCCACATTCAATGTTTGTATCTGTTCAGTGGGTTGGTCTCCATCTTTGAGATTTTTAGGGGCCGAGTGAGTCGTCAACTAGCTCGAGCAGCGAGTCAGAAGCTCAATGGCGGCTCCCCCTGGAGCGCTTTCAAACCATCCAACAAGACATTGTACATCCATTCCCACATGCATTGGATCTGTAATCTATCAATAAACATTGCATACCGAGGCAAGCATTTAGGCGCCAGCTCCTTTTGGAGCAAGGGAAGCAGCGTGCTCATTTCGCTCCCTAAATGTACGCGAGCTTGTGAGATGGTGAGCGTAGAGGTGGAAAGTTCAGTGCATGGGATGCAGAACTAAGTTAGCTTAGATCTTGGTTGTGTGAAAGGCATCACACTTGTAATTTTCCAAGTTTTTTGCGGCTCACAAGTGTTTGTGTCTCAAGTAGTGCAGAAAATGCGCTGTTGGGCTGCAGTTGTGTGTTGCCCAAAGTGGGCGGCGATGTCCCTTCAAGGCAAATGGCATCGAACACATTTCTGTACGCTTAAAGTAGTTTCAGACATTGAATGTCATTTATTTAGCATGTGGTCCAATTTTTTGAGGCAGTGGCACTGTTACAACTGGAACTGATTGAGAGTTATTAATAATTAAATGTATGAAAAGATGATGAAGCATTAGGAATTGCATTAAGGATGTTGATGAACGAACTGAATATAAAAGACAGAACGCCTGTTGTCCGTTTGCCTCGGCTGTAAACCGTTGCTGTGGACTCGAGCATACAATTCCCGTTCAGGGATCGCCACCCCTCTACCCTGCCTGCCTTCGTCAACACCGCCTGGGTGTCCGTACACAGCTGCCCCCTGGAAATTGGCGGCCAGAACTGTATAATGAAAAAGATGCGTTTTAATGAGCGGCCATCACGAACAGGAAGCACAAATACCTCCGTCGCCGGTGTGCGCAAAACAACGGGGCCGGAAAAAGCCCCCAGGGGCGGGCCTCCCCAATGAAACGTCCGCGAACGCCCCCCCGCCCTACGTAACCTCCCACCCCCCATCGGGCGGCTGTCCTTGCGCCCAGCGAGGCTCGTGCGCGCCCGGCCCCGCCCGGATGTCCCGCGCGCCGCTCGCGCGGCGCGGAGGCGTGAACCGCTGGGCACCGGCATCGGCATCGGCGTCATCCCCGCCCAGGCCGCCCGGCCGGCATCCCGCCAGGCGGCCGATCCAATCCCATCCCCGGGCGCCCGCGATGGATTGCTCCAATGCGATCGAGGAGGCGGGCAATGGCTCGGCGGGGAGCGCCGTGGCCGCCGGGCAGATAGCATCCTCCGGCAAGGCGGAGGCTGAGGAAGTTGAGGGGGGGGATGGGATGAGGGACCAGGTCGCGGATCTGGCCCGCCAGGTGGCCGAGCTGAAGGGCTTGGTGGCCGCCCAGGCCGCCGCGCTGGAGGCGCAGAGGATGGAGGTGGGGCGGCTGCGCGCGGCGGCGGCGGCTGGGGAGGGGGAGGAGGGGGAGGGCGGCGATGGTGCCGGGGCGAGGAGCCCGCTGCAGGCGCAGGCGGTGGCCATGGCCGACCGGAGGTTCGGGGGGCGGTTCGACGCGCGGTTCCACTCGCTGAGCAGGTGGGCGGGAAGAAGAAGATTTCCTGCACATGGTGTTACGACAGAACTGTGCATGTCACCGTCCGTGCTTTGCCCGCAATACATGGCCTGCTGGGCGGGAGGGGCGGGTGTGCGGGCATAGATAAAGGTGTTGCAACCAGGCACTGAGTCAAGATGTTACAACCATGCACTGAGTGCATTCAGGCCCGGGAGCAACGAGCTATGTCGGCGACACGTGGTGGGCTGCAGGATAGTTCAGGCTTTGTTTGTCTTGAAACCGAAAATATGCAAGGAGGAGTTGGGAGAGCAGGGGAGGGGAAGGAGGCGTGGGATTGGAGGGGGGGAGCGAATGGGGGAATCTGTGCCCCGTCGTGGGGCGTGGGGCCAGTTTGGAACATTGGATGCTTTTAGTGAGGGGCACTTTTGGTGTGATCAGCAGCAGGTCTGCCACATTTTCGCAGGCAGTGCAGCGCCAGCGATGCAAGAGCATCTAAACATGGGCAGAGGCTCTGACAGGTCGAGCAATGGGGTCCCACATGATGGAGTTTATCCATTGTGCTGCAACCTGCAACAATAGAGAAGTAGCTTTCTGCAATGTACAGGGCAGTTGGCACAATCAGAATGTAAATCCTGGACAGTCCAAATCCTGCCATGGCTGTTGCCTCATGTCTCAAGGTTGCTGTGCTCACTAACGGCTGTTGCTCTGTGGTGTTGTATGCAGGGGTGCTATACCTGAGGACTTCCGCGTGCTTCCAAAACGGATCATTTTAGTGAGGTGTGCAATTCTTTGGCGATGGCCTCAAGAATCAGTGTGCACTCCCTTAAGAGTTGCCCCACACTTTAGCAGTGAAGAGAAGAACGTGCTCCCATATGCTGAGTTTGCATGGCACCATGTACGTTCCAGAATTAGAGACGGCATCGTTAAAGGTAAACAGCATCACAGTTTGATGTGTGTGAGCCTCATCAGGAGCGTTGAGGCACAACAGGGGCCAAAGAAGCTAATGCAAGAAGGAAACAATGCCCTGTTCTGTGCACAGCAAACCGTCCTTAGAGAGTGTAACTGTGTTGGTGGAGACTCCATGCTTGGCTTGCCCATTTCCTCGATTATGGGCCACGCTGTGTGCTGTTGTTGTTGTTGCTGGGGGTTACACTGTGTCAATTTTGATGCAGTTGGTGTCACATTGACACCAAGGCGTTCACATTGTGACACAAAGAATTTGTGCTGCTGTCACAAAATCGATGCTTGCCAAAAATGCAGCTGTTCAGTTGCACGCAGTTCATATCATTTTCGAAAGCCTCCCTGAGGCATTGAGTTTTTTTAACAGAGTTCCCCCAACCATCTCATTGGAATGCCTATGGAGCTGCCCCATCGCTTGCCATCATTTTAAGTCACCCACTTTTTCACCCCTCATAATCGTTGTAGCATTGGCTGTTTGCCTGTCTTCAAGACACCTTGATGTTGTATCACTCTATTGGGTACTGTTGCTGAGTCAGCCTTGCATTGATGCAGCGATTAACCTAAGAATGAAGGGGAGGGGATACTTTAGGAGAGCAAGAAACGGGTCATACAAAGGGCAACCCTTCTTAAGCAAGTGTGTGTGATATTGTGTGTTCCCTTATTGATAGAGACAATGAAATGTACTTGTCCTTTTTTGCGATTGTTGTGCACTTTGTGTTGTGCACAATGCGTACTGTCTCTTGTCACTGGGAGCCTGTGCCTGATTGTCAGATTGATGAATTCACTTCCCATTTCCCACCTTCCACTTTCCACTTTCGCCTTCCACTTCCCACTTTCCAGTTTGACTTTCCCACCTCCACTTCCCACTTCCAATGTCGTCTGCCTTGTTCTTGCAGGCATGCCCAGTCTGAAGGTAACGTCAACAAGCAGATATACAGCCATGTCCCAGATCGCAACCTTGGCTTGGTAAGCTTCGCACTCGTTTTGTTGTGGACAGTGCAAGGGTGGATTCTGCTCTGCCATTATTCTGAGTGTATTGCACGCTCTGGCGTGTGAGCCAAGGTTGCTGGCAGTGAACTGCAGAATTGGAACCCACTGTCCCACATTGCTTTGTACAAGCCTCACAACTTCGTGGCTTGCCTGTGTCTTGTTTTACCTGTTCCAGCAGCCAGTTTGTTTCTTGCACCCAACAAATGGAGAAAAATTGTAACCCATTGCGGATTGTGCACCCAGGAAAGCAACAGCCTTGCAGCAGACATCCTATGTGAAGCCGACAATGACTTTGCTGTTTATGAACAGTTTTCACTCATAATAAACACTTGTGGCCAGTGCTACAAATTCTCCACCGAGCCACGTAGAGACCTTGGGTAGATACCCAGAGTCAGGTAGGAGATCGCCTTGTGTTGTGTCGCATCTGAATCTGTCGGCCACTTGCTGTGCAGACAGAGGGAGGTTGGGAGCAGGCGATCGAGGCTGGAAAGAAATTGCGGCGGGTATTTGAACGGGATGGAGATGCGAATAACTTCAAATTGTTCTTCTTTATTTCTCCATACAGGAGGTCATACGAGACCTACGAGGGAATCAGGTGTGCAATTTCTCTAATCTATCAGTCATCAAATCAATCTGTAGGTCACCTGGTCTGTGCTGAAATAGGTTGCGTTACATGGTAACTCAAAGGGCTCATGAGGACTCAATGTATAGTATTTGCCTGCCAGTCGCACACACTTCTAAGGTGCAAACCTGGAACTGGTAGTAAGGGGCCAGATGCAAAGGACTGTAGTGCAGGTTGGTTTCAACGCAGTAGTTTAATGGCCATGCTATTGACACTGTGAACTTGCAACCTGACTGTTGGCTTTGTAGTTTACGCACTTTTTAGCCTAACCCCAAACTACAGCACAGCCCTAGTTTGCAATTTTAGCAAAGAGCCCGCATAATTGCTGTCGAACAAGTGGCATGATGTGCTTCAGTTCCTCTGGTGTGGTTTATGGTACACGCACCAGCCAGCGACAGACTCTATTTCCGTAGTGACCTTCCGATCAAGCACGACACACACATTCATGGCTGTGCACTGAACTAGATATAGAACTGAAAGCAGACCAAACTCCTGAGCACCGAGCAATTATGTGGCTTCATGGCCCACATGACTTCATGGCTCACAGCAGCCATCAAGTGCCTCCATAGATCCTTGTTAAAGGCCAGAGACCCAGCGACAGCTTTGCAACACCAGAACGGTCCCTACATCTAGAACCTTTACACATCACCATAAGGGCTTCCTGAATGCCAGATTTGACAGGGGTCGAACACTTGAATTTTTGTTCAAGAGCACTGGCTCAATTTTGGAGTAACTTGCATGCCAGGCGCAACTTCAGCGATGCAGAGGTGCTTGGCGCTTGCGAGGAGGTGCAGCTGCGGGAACAGGACTTTGGGAACTTCCAGGTGCCTGGTGAGAAGAAGCGGGAAATGGCTGAACGGATGGAGTTTGGGCGCTTCTTCTACAGGTTTCCCAATGGCGAGTCGGGGGCAGATGTGTACGACAGGATTACCATCTTTGAGGATCACTTGATAAGAGACATAAATGCAGGTGGGTAGTGAATAATTGCTGAAGTCACAAGCTGCGCACGACCCTGGTGTTGCCTCTTCTGTGGCATGGCTGCTGGTGCAGCCAATGGACAGTGCTGTTCCATTGCAGTCTATTGACTGGCATCGCAATTGAAATGCCCTTCAAGCCAGGGACAGAGAGACAGAGATGTATGCTGTGGGGTTTGGCGACATGTGAACACTGTGGTTTTCTTCCTGAAACTTGCACCCTTCAGTAATTGGATGTTTGGCCTGGTGGACACCAACTGTTGTAGATACTATGTTTGGAGCTGAACGCAGCACTAATTGGATGCTGTGGAGTTGAGCCTGGTACATTCATTTGGGTTGCCAGTAGACTGTTGGTGTGGTCTGCTGGCTGTCTGTCTGGGCCTGGGAAGTGACATATGCTGTGATACATGCATCAGAAAGCAAGGAGGTTTGGATGCTTGCATCTCTTCCTGCGGGGAGGAACACACAGTTCTTTATGTTGTGGAAGTCAGCATGTGCGCATTACCTCAGGTTGTGCAGCTGATGTGTTGCTTTGCTCCATGCACGGTTTGGAATTGTAGGGCAGCATATATGCAGTGCAAGCTCACTATCAAAGATGCGAAGGGTAACGGCTGCGTAATGGTTAGCTGAACCCATATCTTGCATGTCTTATCGCCTTCCCCTTCGACTTGCTGAATTTGATCCTCAAGGCCTACCAGCAGTTGTCAGAACACTGCCTGTAGTATGACACCCTCATGCTTTCAACTGCCGACCAGCTGCTAAGTCAAATCTTCAGCTTGAGCTATTGCATGGCCATGTTGCAGGGCGGTGGTCTCAGGACAACACCAACCTCGTCTTGGTGACCCATGGGCTGTCCTTGAGGATCATTTTGATGCGCTGGTTCCATTGGACAGTGGATCAGTTCCTGACAGTGTACAATCCGCCCAATGCCGTGGTGAGTTGCGTGCCCATCGTTCTGGTCCGCAGTACTTTAAGCACTGGAGGAACCATGTGGTGACATGCTCAGAGTGCCAGTTAAATTTTGAAAGTCACTGCTGACAAGTGTTTGTGAGGCAGCCCTGCACGCATTAGCTGACTAGCCTGCAACCATGGGTGTGGAAATGGCGGATTCAGTCAATCAGTGGTCTGACATGCTGCAAGTTCTTCCAATCAGTCTAATGGACAGTGTCAGATCTCTTGCCTGGACGCTCGACGGCTTTGTAGGTGCAGTCATTTGGGTGTTTCTGATGTGTACACGACCCAATGCTTTGCAGTCTGACTTACTGGTTGACCTGTGCAGCCGGTGGTGCTGGAAAGGATCGGGCCCAACTCCATAGCCCCGACATGGATGCACACAAAGATGCTGTACCGCATGTCTCCACACTCATTGGAAACCATGAAGGGGTGCACTGAAGACATGGTGAAACACACTGTGTCGTCCGAGTCATGCATTCTTTAGAGGGGCCAGGAGTGGGTTTGCAGGGAATGGGCAGGGGCTGACAGGCAGGGATGGGACCATCCATACTGGGATTTGTTCTTTTGGGCGCTGCCAATGCGGCCAAAATGAGAAGAATTATTTGGACTGGCGATTGCACAAGGGCGCAGATGCGTTGAACACAGAATGTTAAGGGAAGGGCAGGGCAGCGAAGAGTTCTTAGTGTTAGGTTGCAACCTCTTGTGTCTTCCAGCAGAAGGCTCTGCTGGCGATGCAATGGGGCGTTCTTGCTGTCAAGCCGTCGTGAACGCGGTGTTGATGATTTGCTGTTGTGGAGTGCATCGATGTAAAGTAACCTCTTGCGCTTTCTATCTTTGCTGCTGGCCGCTTGCCGCCTGGCTATGCATGGTCGAAAGAAAACTGACGCTGCGGGGAAACGCCAGCGCAGGGAGAAGCGTGCCCCGAGAAACACGGCTGCCACTGGTGAAAACCACGACCTCCTCTCACACTTTGTCGGGTCTATTTCATTTGCATTGAATATTGAGGACTGATGAAGGTTACACGACCTGGTCATGTTCCAACCCGTTCGAACTATCGATGCACGATCATCAGATATTTTGCGACGGCCACCGTCACAAGCCCTAAAGTTGACCTGCGACACAGACGGGCGTTATCGACGCCGGCATCTTCCCCCCCTCGAGTCGTCGGAAGTGGCCTCTTTCGCCCACACCGGCGCGCCTTGCTTTTAGAGCTGAATGAGACATATCCAAGAGTCCCAATGCTGCAATTCGCTCGAACGGCACCGTACATCTTCCAAAAATGTGCCGATTCGGAACTGCCCACCAGCTGAATGCGAGCCACTGACGCCGCACTTTTGGTCGCCACATTCGGGTCGGGCTTTTGGCCGCGGCGGCTGACCCAGTTGCAGTTTCGCATGTAAACGGAATCAGCGCGCTGCTGTTTCTTACACAACTGCTCAATTGAAACTTGTTTGAAACAGGAACACCACGCCAACGCTTAGGTTTGACGGGTCAAAACTTTCAGGCGGAAATCGTGAGCCCGGTTGTATTTACAACATAATTGTGTTCCACAGGTAAAGGCCACGCTCCACTGCGCGACTCAGCTTGTCAGGAACATCCCAGCTTCTGCACGCGCATGGCCCCTCATGGCCCGCGGTCGACTAGGCGAGCCCCCATCACGTAAGGTCCTTGAGGCCCACAATCACAAAGTCCACAGGAAAAAGGCAGTCGAGTGCAATTTAATGCAGCTCAGTGCAAAAAGTGCCATTAAATTTGAATTCAGTCGACGAAATTTGCTCGAATTGAATTAGAATAAAAGCCTGCGAGTGCTGTGTTCTGGATCAGTTCTGAGATGACGACTGAGCTCAGTGCTTCACTGCTCAGCTGGCAGTCGATTATATTTTGTACAATGTGGAGAGCTCTATTCATCATCTCCCCTACTGAAATCATGTATGCAGCTTTTCTTGAATCTGTTTTGAGCCGCCGTAAAGGGCCAGTACATTGGATCTATTTGAAGGGCGGTAACTCAAACGTTATCATTGCTCATAGTTGGATACTAATGTGGTGCAGCCAAATTTATACTGATTATTTACTTACTTATTATCGTTATTTATACTTAGTATTTAACTAACTTATTTTCACTTCTTTTCATCAGTGTTTATACTTATTATTATGCTTCTTACCTATTATTATTATTTAAACTTGGAGTACGATGATAGACCTCAAAAAGGATTTGATGCTCTCATCGGCTGCAAGCCCAGTTCCATTACACGAGCGTGACCCGGATGGGATGCGAGCACCACGACTGTTCGTGAACGCGACAACAAACTATTGTCGTCGCCTTTTCCTCAACACTTTCTTCCCTTGGGTATTTGTTTAGATGCGCATCATCCTATTTCTTTTTGCGTGTCCAGAGAAGAGGGTGGAGCGTCATCGCACGCAGAAATGCTAAATTATTATTTTTGCAGCACTGTGACACCACCAATGTCGCAATGGCGGGGCCCACTCCCTCAAGTGTCGCACTCATCACTGTTTTGCATATGCTGCCCCAGCGGCGGACATTCAGCCCTGACAAAGCGTTGAAGGGCCTGACCGCCAGGCCCGGAGCAAAAGGACACCAAGCGATTACATTGAAGTTGAGGACAACAACATTGACTGCCCCTATCCCTAGTACACTCTTCAAACTCAACAGGCCGATGAATTTCGGCACCCCACAGGAGTGCGTCGGTCAGTGTGTGTCTCAATGAGCGCCCACACTGCGCGTACTTAGTCAGTACCGTACCTGGCGGGTGCATACCACCGTCAAACACGTCACCCAGCCCCCGGCACAGCGGCGCACAAATCAACCCCGCCGAACACCACGAAGGCCCCCGCCGAAGGCAACTGCTGCGATTGGTGCCGACTCCACGGCACCCGAGCCGCCCCTGCGCCCTTGGGCCGATCCCGTGGCCCCTGAGGCCCACCCACTGGGCCATGGCAGCTCCCGGGGTGTGGATCTATGTTCCGCGCGAACTGGTGCGCAATCTGGGGCCAAGGGGAGAGGCGCTTGCGAGCGATGTGGGAGCTGTCGTGGTGAAGCGCTGGGTGCCTTTTGCAGGCCAGGCTCCTGTTCGGGCAGCTTGGAAGGCCGCCGTTTAAGAGCCCAGGCGTTGAAGGTCCCGTTGGGACGCGTATGGTGGTGAGTGATGGTCTGCTCACCAGTCGTAAAGCCTGCAAGCCCTGGCGCAAACCCTGGCGCGCTGGGCGCAGGCACGCGATGCGTTGCCTGGAGCGTGGGCAGGAGGAGAAATTGACCCGGACAAGTGCCCTCGCAGAGCGAATCGCTTGGCATGATGTCGAGGAGGGGCTTCCCACTGGTTGCCCGTGCCTGGGAGCAAGCGCAGCTTGACCTGATACAAATACAAATGTATATGTTGGATGCTGGCAGCAAGGCCTGAGCCTTGTTCGTGGTGACATTCTGGTGGAATCTGGCCTTCATGACGTCTGGGGTTGGGGCCAATGATCGCCCATTGGTGAGCGTATTCCCCTTCTGCCAAAAGTTTGACGTCCGTTGTGACGTTCTCAAGAAACGCGTCGGGTTGCGTTTGGCCCCGGAGTTTACAGCGTCACTCTGCGGGTCATCGGTTTCTGGTGCAGGTCCAAGCCGATGCTCCGTTTCACAGAATAGTGGAGGAGGGCTTTCGTGTGGATATAAGCGGCACGCCGGTGCAGGTAGCGGCCGCTCTGCTCTCATTTTTGGAGCAGCACAGCCAACGTAAGCACTGGCAGATTCCAACTAGTGCCTAGGGTATTACCTGTGTGCCCACCTGTGTCCTCACAGTCTCAGATGTAAGGCAGTTTGCAGGCAGGGGCTGTGGCATTGCCTGTCTGCTCTCAATAGGTACCTCACATTTAATCATGTTGAAGCGTTCTTTTGCTTACAGAAACCATGTGAAACCCAAAAAGTGCATGTGGCAAAGAGTATCATTGTCATATGTTGTTTTTCCCTGGTGACAAACCTCTGCACTTGCACCTGCGTGTGGCTTGTGCCCAGAATTTTGTTCCAGACTGCTTGCGGTTCGCAACCATGTTGAGACAGCGAGAACTGTGCAAGCCGTGCTCAGCACTCACCTGCCTGGCTTCATTTGGTCCCTGGCCAGGCCTGTGTACATATCATGCTGCTGCTGGTGCATACGGGAGTTGTTGTGATTGTAGGTATGTCTGAATCGACCAAGTTTTATTTCGTTCCAGTGACGGAATATGTCAATGTGTCACATTTTACATACAGTTCACTGCTGTGCTGTGTGCTGGCGATGAGGGGATTCTGGAAGTAAGTCAAAGTTGGCAGACTCAATTAATGGGCAGGACTGTGAACATCAATGCAGGTATCAATGGAACGGACGAGTTGTGGCAATACATCGATGACAAGGTGAGCTTCTAACCAAAGTCTGATGCTTGGCACATGTAATGGCCACATCGATGTTGCCCATGCATCTGGACATGTCTGACACCCATGTTATCATTGTTCTGGATGTCAACAGGGAAACCTCCAAGGACCCTTTTCAGGTGAATCCCTGCTCAGATGGACACATGCCTACCTGAAGATCGACAGGATGATACGGCACGCGCCCACAGGCATCTGGGCTCCACTAGCCACTGTGCTGTCGACCATGGAAGAGGAAACCTCTGCCCTTGTGCATGGGCACCCAAGAGCTAATGCAATGGCCAATGTTGGGTCTAGCCACCCTGCAATGACAGCATTTGAAGACACTGGCTTTGAGGATGTTGAGATGGAAGATGCGGATGTATTGGCGGAGTGGGTTGCCCAGGCTCGGAAGGGGGCAGGAGAACTTGCTGTGGTGAGTGGGGGCCGTTGTGAAACTTGGCCTTGCCTATGCCACCAGGGGCTCTTATCTTTACCATTCCTTTGCAAGTAGTGAAGAATTTTGATCTTCTTTTTGGCCCCAAAGTTGCCAACTTGTTTTGGACAGGCCGTAAACATCAGTGAGCATCTTGGTGGACACTCACATGATGCCACTATGCCCTGATTCACTATCTGTTGCGGCAAGGATATCCAAAGCAGGAACGTGCCACCCGTTTGATTGTGATATTCCTTTTCTGTCTCTGAACAGGCTGCAGAAACCACAGCTGCCTCTGGAGGTGTTTGCTTCCAACTGCCAGGCGTCCGTGATGTAGAAATGCTGGATGCAACAACATCACAAGATCAAATCTTTGCCGTTGTAGATACAAACATCTTGATGACTGACTTCAGCGCTCTTGCAGACATGAAGAAACTGTCATGTGTTGAGATTGAAGCAGGTGTGGGCTATTCCCCTCAAATCGTGCTGGTGGTTCCGTGGGTCGTGATGCTGGAGCTCGACTGCTTGAAGAACTCCACCAAACAACACTCTACCAAGGGTGGAAAGCGCGTGGCTGTGTCCAGGTTGGCTCGAGCAGCTGTTGACCAATTGCAGAGGTCCATCTCCAGTGGAGACAACTTCTTTAGGGGTCAGACTCTAATGGAATTCAAAGACAGCAAGAACATGTCCATGGGGACCGATGTCGTGTCCAATGATGACAGGATACTCCAGTGTTGCCTTCAGTTTGGGAAGCACACGCTGACGACAAGTGCGGCCACTCACCGCCGCATAGTTGTGGTTTTGTTCTCGAATGATAAGGCTTTGTGCATGCGGGCGGGGGTCAATGGCATTCAGGCGTTGATGAGCCATGATATTCCTAAGAAAGGATGCTTCGACAAGATATCTGCAGTCTTCACCCGATCCTTGGGAATGCTTGAAACTCTAAAGACCGCGGTGAAACAATTTCAACCCTTGGCCAGTGGAGACCATGCCCAATATCCATGTGATGGCTGGAGTGGAAGCACTGCCCTGGGGCAGTTGACAAATGGTCATGTGCATGGTCATAATCATCCGACGCGTGCATCTGGTGGAACACAAGATCAATACGAGGCCATGGATTACGATGACCAGTGTGCAGGGAATTCATATCCCATCGCCACCACATATGGAAGCCAGTCCTTTACAGCCGGCTATGGAAGCCAGAGAAGCTGTGCTGCAGCAAGGAGTACCAGCTACACTGAATCAACCCCACGCAGGGGCGCTGGGGGGCCATCAAGATCGGCAGCTAGGGGCGCAGGTGTAGGTACTAGCAGTGTGTCTGCAAACATTGCTGCTGCAGAGCAGTTGCTGGCTTGTGCGAGCCAGAACCCCTATGAGCTAGAAAGTGCCACCACCGAACCTGCCCCATGGAAGGACCTTACAGATCGTGCAGCAGATGTGTTCACCAAACCCCTGTCGGAGTTTTTGCAGTACCACTTTGAGAGGGAGTGTGGGGGTGTGTGGGAATTCATCGTGGCTGAGAAGCCTCCTTGGACGCTGCTCACGCTGCTGTATTTGTACAGCAAGCACTACCAGTCGGTGTTGGTGGGGCATTTGCCCAGGCAGGCACTCACATACGCAAAAGAAGCAGAGCGTGCATTCAAGCAATTCCAGACTGCAGAGAATGTGATCGCAGGCGTGAAGGCGTTGGTTCAGCTGCTGACCCTTGTCAAGCCCCCCAGGCCTTCAGGGGACAGTGGCATCGCAACCCCGGGCGGCCCAGGACAGCCAACCAAGACGTGCGAAGGCGTCGGAGCAACAGTTCTAGAAGCTCGTGTGCAGGCCAACAGGCTCCTTGCAGACGTTGTGGAGACGGCACAGGCGGCATTGTGGATGGCGGGTGGGGCCCAGACTGGGACACAGACTGGGACACAGAATGGGCACAGTGGCTACCAGAATGAGCACTGGTCCCAGACGAACGGCCAGGGCACAGGGGCTGGGCAATGGCCAGATTACGGAAACAGTAGGAGGGCAGGTAAGGGCAGGGGGGATAGCCAGAGGTGGTAATGGTGTTTACGAGAGTGGCTTTGGAACGAGTGGCTTGCTGGGGAACCCAAACAGGGCTACTTTGGTGCGATGTGTGAACCAGGGTGCCCTTCACCTGCCAGAAGGACCTGCATTGCCTTGAACGTGGAGGGATAGAGTTTCTGCTTTGGGGGCAACTGCAATGGGAGAAGTTTGCCATCAGACTGGACATACTGCCTTGTCAGTCTGGTCATCCATCAGTTGCCCATGCAACTGTAAAAGCATTGGCAGGATTGGGAGCCCTGAGCAGCATTCCCTAATACCCCACCACAGTCATGCCAACCTGGTACGGTTATGCAGACCAGAGGCCCATTGTTTGCACTGTTAACACCGTGGTAAAGCTGCATCCTTTGCTACTTATAGATGGGTCAGTGCTGCTGCCTCAACCACCAGTGGATTATTTTCCGGTGTGCAAGCGTTGGATCAATCTTGCCAGCCAGAGACAATCACACAACGGCTCAGAGGACGTTCTGCAGATGCGCACGGATGCGAAACATTGTGTGATGAAAGCACCAGTTTTATGCCACACAAGTTATGGCCTGCATGACAGAAAATCGCTGGATGGCTGGAACTGTGAGAATAGACCAGTCGATTCATGCTGGATGGAACAACAGTGAGTGTAGGGTCGTGGAGGTGTGAACTGCAAGGGTAGTTCCATCAGGCTATTCAGTAATCTGCTTGACGAGCTGAGTTGTCAGCACTCTGAATTGCTCAGGTAAATTTGGCGGGGGCAGGGTGAATGGGGGCTGTGAAAGAAATGACAAGGTTGCTTTATTATGAGGTGTTGCATTGGCTATTGTGGGCATTTGGGCCTGCAGCTCAAGTGCCACGAGGGGCTGTATGTTCCACACAAAGCTGAAGGCAGTGTACGGAAGGTGGAGCCAGATGACGGTCATCATGAAGGAATGAGGCATCTCAGAGTGCATCAAGGAGTATTGGGAATGTGAAACACCCTGCCAGTGCACCTGCACTTAACGTTAACCGGCAATTCTAAGGGAAGGAGAGGGTTTGAGGCGTTGAGGGGAGCACTCTTTGCAGGTGCTGGCATCGATGTCGCTCCTGCACCCCTTCTGAAATTCGACTGCCACACCCTGGAGTGCCGATTGACGTGCCATTGCCGTCCACTGTCAAACATAGGCGCAATAGGTCTTTGGTTGGTGTAGGCTCTCTCGTTGAAGATTTCTGTCCGAAACCCAGTCGTTTGCAGTTGATTGGGCAGAGGCGTGAGAGATATCCATCCATCCATCCAGAAAGGCTACTGCAACATCAGTGTTGCAGCAGTCTTCCTGGATGTGAGGAAGGAGACTGCGAAGGATTTTGAGTTTGACAAGAGTAGAACGGTGCGCGATTCCCTGGGATGCAAGATGAGATGTAGTGCACATTGACAACACCCACATGACATTCATGATGTAACTGGTCCCGGCTTTTGTACACAGAGCAGGGTGTGAAGACAGCAGTGCAGCCATTTGACGCTGATGTTGCCATCCAGTTGCCACAGCAGCCTCGGATGCGAAGCCCAATGTACCCATGCTCGGGCGTGTCGAATCCCAGCACAGATACGAAGTTTTCCCAACAAAACCGGAACGATACCCTCCCAATCTACGATTAAGAGGGTGGCAAGTGTGCATCATCAGAAATGAGCGAATACCGTGCTAGCTCGCGTGCACGCTCTGGATTGACACAGCAGAATTTGCACTCTGGATGCCGGCGTTTCTGTGAGCTGCGGCCTCGGACTGTGGCTTCCCGTCGCACACGATGGTGGAAATATTGGCACTGGTTGCTCACCAATCCACATCGGTCCTCACGTACATTGGCGTGCTCACCGTCAGGATGCCTCTTTATCGATATCCCGAATCGGAATATCGGAATTTCCGATCATTCATACGGGGATGATGAATATCGCCTCGCTGGAATGGCAGGCACGTCGGCCTCCCATTCCACAGACATGCTGTCTGGGAACAGCCTAGCCATTAACGCTCGAAGAAGACTCTGTTCACGATGGTTTACTTCGAACACATTAGTATGTCTTGCTATGTTTGAAAATTGAGCAAAGTGCGCTGTCTGCACATAGTGCTGAGGCTCAAGCGTAACAATCAAAACCTTGGATTGTTTTATCTAACGCAACCCCCAGACAGAAATCCACAAAACATCATAAGGGAATTTTAGACTTAAGAGTTTTGGATCGCCTTAACCTCGTTGAATCTCCTCACAGCCGTGGTGTAATTTCAAATCTTGATCTTCAATTTCTGCTGCGTGTTTCGCATGACAGCGATATCTTTCCACCCTCATTGTCATAACACATGGTGGCAAGGAAATCGTTGGGCCGAATCGAGGAGGGTTCCTCGTACCCCTCTGACACCCCATCCACCTGCGATTCATTTCCCTCTTGTCCCAAGCCTTCCCTCGAAGGTAGTGCAGGCAACGAGGGGCGAAACCTGCAGGTGGTCCCCAACCTGAACCAATCCTGAACACTCCCACGGCCTTTGCGCAAGAACCCCCAACTCGCTACTTTGTCAAACCCATGTCAGCACCCGTTTTTTAAAAATGGCTTTAAATCAAAGCAACTTTTGCCTTATCGGTCTCTTGAACCCACCCAGTCATGTTCCCCCATATGACAAGACATTTACAGAACTCATATACAAAAAGTGTCCGTTACCGCTGTACTTCAAACCCGAGGTCCCCACAATTGAACGTGCCCATTCGCTTCGCAGTACTTCGTGCCACACAAGTACGTGACTCAGCCGTGAGTCAGCACCTCAACCCCATATTTCACTCCGTTCGTTTCCGCTCCATCTCACAACTAAACCGAATCCAATCTCCAGGGCGGGAAGACGGGTGCGAAACAAGATAAGGTGGGGATCCTATATAGCCGCTCCCGCTCAGCCCCGCCAAGGCCCGCCAAACCCAAAATTTTTCGGCCCTTGACTGATCCAAGGTATTAGGGGGCCAGAAACACAAGGGCGGGGCATCAATTTGTCCCATTGTAACGGCTGCCGGTTGAAAACATCAGCGCAGCCCAAGCAACGTCACCCTTGGCAGAAACCCATTTCCTCCGAGCCGGGCTCCTTGTCCCTCCCAGGTCCACACACACATTGGACCAATACATTACAAGGACCATACTGTTTGTCCCAATACAACCCGAGGTACCCACAACTTGTGTGCCCAGTCGCTTCGCTAGTAGTTAAGCCAGTCCCATACAAGACTCATCCCTGAGTCAGTCCCACCACTCCTTGTGCCCTCGTACTCAACTCCCACACTTGCCCCAACACAACCGAACATCACCCTAATAGGGAGGGCCGGGCGGGGAGCGAAACAAGATGGAGTGGGGACCGAGGGGTGAGCCTAAATAGCCTCCCCAGCTCGTGCCCGCCAAAGCCCGTCACTCCCAAGGGCGCCAAAAACCGTGGCCCTCCTTGAACGCGACGAACTGGCCACTGACCCAAGGTACAAGGGGGCAGAAACCCCGGGGGCCGCCAAAACAACTATACTTAAGAAGCACTGGTCCAACTGGAGCCAGCGCGCCCGCCCCTCGTCGCCCTGGGCGGAAACCCATTACCAAGATAGTTAATCCCATTAACAAGGTAGTTAATTTCATTTCTTTATATTCGAGTCGCCAATTAATGGGGGTCATCAGAGAAATTTTTAAGTTAACAATACCACTCAGCTGGTGACCCGTGAGTTCCAGATATGGTGCAGAGGGGATGCAGACAACCTCAGCACCTTTCGCCACACTCATTATCATCCAGTAGGTTTGAGCTCAACGAGGCGGGAAAACCCCAAGTACTTGGGTGACTAGTCACCTAGCAGGCGTGCTACATACTTTTCTAGTATTGCGAGTTCAAGGCACTCAGAACGCAGGGAGGTGACTTCGATGACGATGGCAGACTACGGCAACCTCATCATGCGCCCAAAGAATCCACTAAGATACTGTAAAGATGCTGAGCACAACGCCAATACGTGGCAGGGCATCACGCGGGTACACATGAGTCAAACACGCCTGGAAAACGCCTTGGAGTACTGAGGAGCATCCCGGTTGCCATTGGAAGCATGTGATTGCTTGGGGCTGCCCGCCTGGCGATCTGCCATGGACCTCGGTGAGACGGAGCCAGGAGGGGTGCGTGGAGGCGCCAAGTGGTTGTTTCATGGGAATATGGCCCGTGGGCCATTACGTGTTTGCTGACCACGGGAAGTATGGATGTTTGATGCGAGTATAGCCCTTGGGGCATTACGTGGTGGCTGACCGCGGACAGTGGGGCGTACCGGGTTGAGTTGCGGTGAAACGGCGGGTGCGGCAGAAAGATTCTGGGTATCAAAAGAGCATCTCTGAGAAGTATTTGCCAGCGCTTGTGGGTTTACAAGTACTAGGGGCGTGGCGAACGCTGCGAGGGACTCTGTATTGCTCCACTCGGCCTGGCAGCTGTAAGAACAGTTGCGCGGCGTTTGCATGTGCCTCTCGCGGCCGTCTAGGCAAACCGCCTGGCAGCTTGACCCCCCTGGCTGTGCGCGCAACGTTCGCCACGGCCTGAGCGCAATAGCGCTGGACCTTTCCGAGCCGTTTTCCTTGCCGTTCAGGACCAGCACTGCCAGTGCGGTCGTGCTGCTGGCCAACAGTGACCAACCTTCGTCTCTGCACAGCCCCGTTGAGGCGGAAAGAAGCAACTTTCGTGTATTGTATCGCTACGCCGTGGACAAGGCCGCCCTGACCCGTGGGGTTGACCTGTGCCCTGACCTCGCCGAGCTTTGGGGAGTGGTTTCGACCGGTTGTGGCGCTTTGGGGGGCAGCTGTGAGAGGTTTCACAAGCGCGTTTGCATGCTTGACGTTTTCCTCTCGTTTGAAGCTTCCCCTGCCGTCGCTGCTATTTTGGGTTGTTGGCATCGTTGTGACCAGCAACGCTACGTGAAGAGCCAGTGCGCGCGATGGGCAAAGCTTGGTCGTTCAGTGCACCCTCAACTGACGCTGTGCTAAAGCTGTCGACATGGCCCAGCCACCCGTTCAAGGGTGATTTGACTGCACTATCTTCGGGGATGACGGCCAGAATGGGCCGCCGCCCTTTTTACTTAATTGTTCGTGGCCTTCGATCCAAACAATTGAGTACACAAGCTTACTTGCAACCTGTCGTACCCCAGCTTACGGTTTCGTTTCCTGTCCCGGGGTACGGTGCGATACGGTGCGGATTTCCGGGCGCCGCAGATGTCGGTGTGGAATTGCAATGATGTACATACAGGGGTATAAATCACCAAAATGGCATAACATTCGCTAAAATAACCCCGAAATGTGCTGTTATGGGCTACCAAAGTTGCAGCCCGCATTGAATATATTGAGTCAATGAGCCAGAATATGGGGTGTGGCGATACGTACTTGGAAAAGAGTTGAGTAACAGAACAGGGCGCCCAACAAGATGAGGTTGATTGTTGCAAATGGAAACGCAGTAACAACTACATTTGCTGAAGAGCATGGAACATTATAACCACGCCAACCACCTCGCCACGTCCCCCTGGCAACCTTTGCAGCAAGGGTCATGCAACATGGCCCATGCTTACGTGCAGGTCTTCGGACTAGCACCTATTGTTGTAGGTCGCTAGCCTATCAGGTGTCACCGAGCTCCACATGTACTAGGAATGTCTCTAAAGCATTGGGTGGCTCAAAAATTGCACCAGATTGTGCGTGGACCCCACCTCGAAAGAAACTTGCCAAAAATTGGCGAAAATCGGCAAAATGTGTGAAAAATCAGATTTGGAGTCGCTACTCAGGGGCGCCCTATTGCCTGGCAGCGACCCGGCAGAGTGGCGCAACACTTTTAGGTCGCCGTCGCTCCCGAGGAAACTAACCTCTGGCTGGAGCACCAACGCTGGGCATTCCCTGGCGCACTTGGCGGGCACCAGCGCACACAACCCGACGGCGGGGCACCCCGCGAATTCGAGGCAGCCGAGCATGCTCCGCGCCGCCCAGAGGGCCGCTAACATGGGCTGGAGTTTCCTGGCGCCCTGCGCCGCCGCCCTGGAGTGCTCGTCGAGGGCGACACCTTGCCATCGGCCGCAGCCGTCGCAATCGGGCGCCTGCGATGATCGCGCGGCGCCGCCGCTCCGGCAGTGGGGCCGCCGGATGCACAGGGCCGCGTCGGAGGACGACGACCCGAACGCGCCGACGTGAGTGCGGCGCGATCGCGATGGGCATGCGCCGGTCGTCGTCCGCGCGTGTATGTTTGAGATTGCCGCCGTTGGTGTTGGTGGTGGTGGCGATAGTCTAGATACAAAGAGCAGCGGAGATGAAAAACGGCATCTCTCCGTCCCGTGCTGCCAGCCTTTTGGAGTGCTCGACGGAAGTTGAGTCCCATGCAGTTGTGGGGTCAGTGGTGCGCGCTGGAGCCAATGGATGTAATCGACACGGGAGACAATGTGTGGATGTAATCGACACGGGAGACAATGTGCGGCAGAAAGTGGGCGGGAGACGGTGAACGGGATTGTTTGGGATTGCGTGGCCTGAGGCGCGTGGCGTGGCGCGGGCAGGATCGGGGTGACGTTCGTGGAGCGCGACGGCAAGGAGAGGACGGTGCGCGCGAAGATCGGCGAGAACCTTTTGGAGCTTGCCCACAGGAAAGAGATCGACCTCGAAGGTGCGGGACGAATGGCGTGGATTGCAGTGGTACAAAACGGTAGAGTGCCGCGCTCGCACCTTCAAGACGATCATGGGCATTAGGGGTGACTCGGAACGGTTATGTTGTGTCCCCTCCCCCCCGTGATGCTACACTGGTACATTGATGGTGGGGCTCCAAGTGGCTGCTGGGTGGCTTGTTGGTGTCGATAAGGTTGCAGGAAGCTGCGGCACTTGTGAAGTGTAAGGTTTCAGGCCCATGTGCGCATTCCAGCTGCAAACACCACCTATGTTCATTGCCCAATTTGGGCGTGTCCACAATTCTGGGAGCAATGTCGATAAGGTGATGATCCCAACGGGGCCAAAGCCGATGTCCACTCCCCACACGACTGTGTGGCATGGATGCAGATGTCTTCTGGTGATGAAGGTCGCCACTCGAGAGACAAGCTTTGGTGCTCCTGGCGACAGCACCAAAATTGAGGAACATGTTGTAGCCAGTTAAACACACGGGTGGAACTTTGGATAAACAACCACACTTATCAATTTGAAGTCGCTGCCCTATTGAGGACATTCAACAGACAGCAGTATTCTTTTTGATGGGGTCATGAAGTGGCAACATATGACCAGTCCCTGATTTGCAGGCAACCCAGACATTGCATGATTGATATTTCAGACATCCAGAATTAATGTGCGACAGGCATACTTATGTGGGGGGGGATTTCAACGCATGCATTCTCCATAGCATTGCCACCTCTGTGCATTGCAACCTGGAGGTGCATCGCTATGCCAGTCTGAATGCCCAATCTGAGTGTGCAGCGGTACTGGAGAAAAACTCTCTCAGTGTTTTGTGTTTGCTTCAGGGGCTTGTGAAGGGTCATTGGCTTGTTCTACATGCCATGTTATTGTTGAGGTATGCCCTTTGCACATCAGTGGATGACCCCTAATTCCTGTCCCATCTGCACTGGTGTGGGTTGTTGGTGCCACTCATGAGATGCAATGGAGGTTTAACACTCAATAACACTGCACGTCCATCGAATACTGGCTATTCTACAATATGCGTTCAGAATGGAATTCTGTCCTTCACATGCAAATAATATTTTTGATTATACATTGAAATACGGCATGTGCATCTTCTGCATGTGCAGATTCATTTTTCTTCCCGTGAACAGGCCCCAGCAGCGATATTATTGGAGCTCGCATCATCGCATGACAAGTCCCCAAATGTCGTCTTTTATTTTTCAACTGATGTACTCAAAACAGCCTGTCACGAACAGGATCAGAGCTATTTTGACAAACTAGAGGAGCCAGAGGAAGATGAAGAAGACATGCTGGATCTTGCATTTGGACTTACTGACACGTAAGTTCCTGGTAGGCAGTTTTTGTCATCTTTATTTTGGTTGCCAAACTTTGCAGTACATTTAAAACATTTTTGACAGCACGATAGAGAAGAAATTTTCAGCAAGCATAACAGTATGATGTAGCCACCTTAGACCCTGACGCAAGACTGTGCATTTGCTGTGAATGAGCGCTACTTTTGTGCTTGAAATGCACTATTTGCCGCTCATGGATTCTGTAGTGACCACTGAATGGATGCGCAGCTGCCATTGCGATGACAAATACCAATACAATGGCAGCTGTGCGTCAAGCCAACACTATGCAGCTGCGCTCAGCGACGCTCCATTCTGTCCTGCCTTGATTTTCACCATTGTCAAAGCCTACTGTGTGCCACAGCTCAAGATTGGGGTGTCAAATCAAGGCCACACCTGACCTGGATGGCATCAAGGTTCGAATTCCAAGTGCATCAAGAAACATTGGGTCCGAGGTCACTTGATGAAGTTCTCGTTCGCAGAAACGTACAGGTAACACTATTGCTCACATTGTTAAACTACAACACTGCCACCATGGAGCGTCCAGGGAAGCCCCTGGCACCGTCTCTGTTGGGCATGTGTTTTTTGGTGGCAGGCGTGGCTGACAGGCAACTGCGTAATGAGATGTGCACATGGGTGGGGGTGATGCAGCACATTGTGCTCGCTCACGCTCCGTGCAACCTGGTGATGCTGTGCTCGATTGGTACACGCCATGCCAGTTGGGCACTGGCGCACAGTTGATGCTGGATTCGTTTGACGCACATGCTCAGGGGGCCCTCCCCAGGCAAACGACACAGGATCCTTTCTTGAAGCCATTGATTATTTTTGTCCGGCCAGCCGTTCTTGCAGAGTGTGTCGGTTTTGGTCACAGCGGACGTTTGGTGCTGCGTTGTAGATAGTCGGGCAGTTTGTGCGGGTGCATTGCCATGTAGACAATTCCGTGCTTGGCAATGTTTTAAGCCAGAGAGCTGTTGAGTGCAAATGTGGGGACAGGAATGTGTCGAATTAGCAGACGGTGCTGCAGCAACACTGCCACTTGGAAGCTCTGAATGGGTAAGGAAGCTGTCGCCGCCGGAGAGCATTGACAGGTAACCGGCACCTGGGGATGCCCAACCCAGGCGCATAGGCCTTGGTCGTCAGACCTGCAACATTTTTCTGCAGCCTGCAGCCTCGCCATCGAGTCAGCATCGGCTCGTGGCTTGCCAATCGTGCCGCCGTTGCCCTGTGCCGCAGAACTCTGCGATTGTGCACCACCCAGAATGCTTGTTTTGCCTGAACCCCTTCTCATCTCCTCAGCGCAGAAGCCCCTCTACCTCACCCCTACCCCACCAGACCGCCAGACGCAATGCCAATCTCGCCCATTTGAAACTGCTGGCGTCCCTCTCCTGTCAGAAACAATAGCATTGCCATCCAGCGGGAGGCTGCTCACCCCTATGTTCATTCCGACAGCCTCGCAGAAGAGCATCTCCAGGGGCGCAGCCCCACCATTAACAAGGTCAACGCTGCAGGAGCCAGAAAGCGTCAGCGACGCAATGCTGCTGGAAGCCACGTCCGAAAAACAGACTTCCTTTCAAAGCGACCATCCAGAGGGACCGCGGCCACCGAGCACCCTCCCAGTTCCCACCACGTCCATCTGCTCGCATCCGAACAGGAAACCCGGGGGCGCCTCCGGGCCTTCTTTTCTCCACCGAATACTTCGAAACGATGTCTGCCCAACACTAACGCCATAGCTCACGCCCAGTGCCCGCCAGCCCTCACCTGGAGTCGTCGCCGCCGCCACCAGCCCCTCCTGCCAGGTCTATCGGAGGGTAAAAGCCGCTCGGCGGCTGAGGGGCCGCGTCCTGCTGGATTTCTGGGGGGTGCGCTGACGCAGGCGCCGTTGAATCCGCGCCCATCTCGTCCCCACGGGATTCCGGAACGACTGAGGAATTGTCCTCGTCGCTCGAAGGGGAGCCGGCCTTGATGAAGTTCCTGGGCGAGGCCTGTTCGAGTTCAATCTGTCAGGGAAGTCAGAAGTACAGGCGTCACACACAGCGGGCACAACGCAGCGACGGAAGCTTGCGCAATTCGGCAGAAGTGTTGAGTGCGAAGGCACACGGCAATCACCCCTGGTGGCACGGGACACCTTTGGCCAGGATCTCCGGGCTGCGCGCTCCGACACACATTGACGAGCTGCATTGGCGTTCCAAGCAACACTCATGATATTTCACGTTGCTCTGGGGTTGCATACTTTGCAGCGTGGGTGTGGCTGGTATTCAGGTCGCAACTCTTTTCTCTTCGCGACCAGTGACTCCAGACGCGCTCCAGTGGCCTGGTTGGATACTTGAAGCACATCGAAGTATGTCTGCAACGTGTTGCTTCACGGCTGTGTTGGCCTATGACAAATCTTCTCTGGTGCGCCTTGATAACCAGATGCGCAGCTGCCGAGGAAGAGCTAACCAATCCTGCCGCCCGATTGCCATTAAAACCTAAAGCCTCTATGCAAGTTTCACGAATATTTGCACGGCGGCAACTGATGCAGCATTACATCGTCCATAAACAACTCACGCGACATCGGCCAATATGGCCAACAATCAGTGTGTCATGTCGCCCCACCTGTTCGACTTCGGCGACGTTTTCCAACTTGCCGGGGACGATTTGGTTCTTCGCCAAAGCCTGCCGCAAACGCAGCGGCAAAGGTACAAGATGAGTTCCCCATGCTGTCTAGGCAGTCGGCCAGGCTACAGTTGCGTTTTGGGCTCAAATCAAAAAGAATGCGCTGTTAAAAAGTGCTGAATGCAGTGCTGAAGTACGCGATTTCGTGCAACGCTACTGGCAGTCGCTAGTTCCGGCAAGTTGCCCTGCTTTGAGCACGGTCAGAATTGGCATAAATGGGAGATTTTGGTCCAGGATATGACCTACAAATGAGTGAGCTACGAGCGCAAAAGTTTCATCATATTTAAGCACCGGGCGTCATGAGTGGTACATCTAACACAGTGTGGCTGTGTCGATTCGCTTGTGGCCTGCCCAGCCATTTCTCGCTCGTGACCCTCAACTTACAACTGCAGTAAATCTTGGCGACCACAATTCTTATCAACATCGGGGCAGGTTTGCATATCGAATCGCGCTGTTTGAGGGCAACCTATTCGCAGATAGCTTTGACGTCAATGTATGTAACATACAGACTATGCAATGCTGAGCAGCATTGCTACAGCACTGTAGCGCGACCACACCCTGCACGTTGGCAGCCAAATTGAAACATGGACATGACCATGATTTTTCCCTTGCATGCAACAGGAACCAACTTGAGAGTCTGTTGAAGGACCCTGTTTGTGACCGCCATGATATGGCCAGTAGGTCACGGTCCCCTTGAGACACCACCCCCTTGAGACAAAAGAGTTTTACAAGAGGTTTTTCACCACAACAATCACAAAGACTGTTCCCTCAATCAAACACAGTTGGACAATCACCACTACCCTTGCTCCACTTGTCCACACCACGATATCGTCACTATAGCAAAGACAACCCCCAGACATTCACTCCCCAATCGAAATACCCTCCGTACAACTCCCCTGTACTTCACAATCTGAAGGGATCTCTTCCCCTGAGCTGGAATTCTCCTCCACCTCTCTGTTGCCAAACCGATCAGAATCTCCCTCTTTGTCCACTTTTCCTGAAGCAGCCGCCTGCGCCACTCTGTTTTCCCGCAAAGTCGTTGTCAGTTCCTGTCGGATGAAGTCTCCGGCTTCCTGAAAAGAGCGCTCACAATCTGCCCAATGAGCAGCAAGGAAGGATTGTACTTCCAAGGGGAGGTGACGGACTTCTGGAACTGAAAGGATATGTGGTGGGAGATTCCTCTGCTCCACCCAAACACGTTCAACCGCCGCTCTCTTCAGGAAAGGGATTCCTTCAATTTTCTCTGGAGTTTCTGCCACCTCACGCCTTCTTTTCCGCTGCTTCCTGCTTTCCTGGTCAGCGGTCGAGGGGCAACAGGACACTTGCCTTGGATTTACCGTTTCCTGACTTTGCTGTGCTAGGGGAACACAGCTGACTTCCAAAGTCAACTTCAGAGATAGCTCAAGGGACATGCAATTTGATTCCGGCCACCTTTTTCCAGCCAGGAGTCGGTCAGAACAACGGCTCAACAATTCTGTCTGGAACTCAAAATCACGATGCTCAATCAGGCAAGTAGCCAACCTACAGGACTTACACAACGTCTGTACAACGCTCAACAACACCACAGAACGCTTTCACTTTGTCCACTTCCCTTTCTCACAGATCCAACTTCACCCGTCACTATACTTCACTCCCAACACCAACTCTTCACTTCGATCAGCGATTCCCAAAACGCCACACCGTCCAGCCCCGCCAGTCAACACCAACGACGGATTGCGCCTTGGCTGCAGCTCCACAGCGCTCTCTCACAGCTCTGGTTGTCGTCCGTTTGGGGCGGTTCGCGGCGCTGGCTTTGGTGCTGTCCAAACTGGCCAAAAGCCAGCCCCTATATACCCCAGTTGCTAGGCATCACAACACCCCCCCTTCGGACTCTCCACATGCCACTTCCCACTGCGAATTCGCAGTGCGTTGGATCCTCTTCGCAGCGTCCTGAGTGAATTCCCAACGTTGGATTCCATCACATTATCATTCACCCACTTTGGTACCCGGTTACATCACCTTTCTCCAACCGTTTCACTAAAAAACATCACCACCCCAAGAACCAACGCACCCCCTCCTCTAAAGCCTTTGTGCATGCGTACAGGTCACTTCTCATGCATCTGATAGGGGTTACAATATCCTTTCCTTATTACCTTCACTTCCCCTTATCAAACCGTTTTCCCCCTTTTCCTATCAATCACAAACACTCCTTGCAGTTTACATTTCACGACGCTCGGCCAATCCGGGCGTCGTGCATGACTTTCCTTCCTCCGAACTGCTCGGAGCCTTCCTCCCGCGGCCTTTGCCCGCTCACGAGCTCCGCCCGCCCGCACTCGATAAGGCGCAGCTCGGGCGCCGCTTCCTCCGGCCCCGGCGCGCTGCTCCATCCCTCCGGACCGGCCGGGGGAACGTGCATCCCCCTTTCGGGGGGGTTTCCTAGGGCCCTCCGGATGGCCATGGAGGCCCACTCAGCGGCCGACCTCGGCGCCTCCACCGCCTCCGTCCGGAGCTCAACGACGAGCTCCCTGACGGCCATCGCTGAGGCCGCTTGAGCGGCCGGGGACGATCGGCCCGCGGCCTCCGGACTGCCCGCCTCCGCCCTTTCTCGTAAGGCGCCCCCCTCATCTGCCCTTAACAACGCATCGCGCTTCCCCTCGATGCGCGCAAGGGTTTTCTTGCTCCGCGCCATCTTTCCGACCAACTTTGCCGCACTCGCACTGCTCAGCGCCTCCGCCATTCCGCCAGAACGAGCTCCATGGCTCGACACTTCCGCCTCGCCGGTCAGCTGCGCATCGGCTTCGAAAGCCGTCCCTCGATGTCCGCCACGTACGGCCACTGTCGCCCAGCACAGTCGCCGGCGGTCGCTCCTTTCCGCGCACTCGCGCCGACCAGCCGCGCACTCCTGAGCAAGTCGCGCGCGCGGGAAGCATCCAAGGCGCAAGCGGCAGCTGACTGCCCGCCGGATGTTGCGCCGCATTAACCGGGTAATCTAAATCGTTTAACGGTTTAATGAACTGGCCGCAGCTCGCTACGAATTGGCACCTTAACAGCTTGTTGTCTCGGTGCATTTTGTTGAGTGCATAACCAACGTGTTTTCAGCTTCATCTCTGGTCAGTCAGACGGTCAGAGACACACTCCATTCTCATGGAATTCATTGTGTCTTGCATTAGCTTTGTTCCGGGAACTTTAACATGGGCACACCAGCTTACCCTGCGCAAAACTCCGAATTGTCTTCCGTCATTGTCCAACATCCTCCTCCAGCATCACGAGAAGTCATGGCCTGACCATTGGAACTCTTTGTCAAAGACTTGCAGCTGATTCTCATGAAACACCAATCTCGGTTTTCGTCCAGCTTCCACTAAAACTGCATCTCCTTGCCCCATCTTTTTGGCTTTCCAGTACGAACCTTGCACTCGGTGTAACAATTTGTATGGACCCTTCCAAACCGGACTAAACTTATCTCCTCGTTTCTGAGCTGCTAGTTCATCATATACAAGTACGGTTTGTCCCTCGTAGAACAAAGACGGCCATACTCTTCGCTTCAGATTGCGCTTCTCCCGCCTTGTCATTGACTTCTGTTGTGCCTGCTTGATGTCTTCTTCATTAGCATCCCAAAGATCCACCGGTGACCACCCAGTTGAACTATGTTTTGAAAAATTCATTGCCTCTAAAGCTAAAGGTACATGACGCGTCCAAGAACCCCCCAGAGCGTATTTCAACTTTCGAAGTCTGTCAACAAACGTTCTTTGAAACCGCTCTACTAGTCCAACACTTTCGTGCCTATACGGGGCTATGAACCTATGTTCAACCCCGTTTTCTGAACACCATAATCGTACTGCACGAGAAGCATAATAAGAGGCATTGTCTGTGACAAGTACAGACATTTTCCCATGCAGCCGATTCCACTTTTCCAATGCCCGAATCACCCCAGAACTACTCACAGCCTTTAATGGTAAAACATCACCCATCCTAGTAGCACTATCCACCATACAGTGCATGTACTTGTAATTGCCCAACCCGGTGACAACCGGTCCAACCACATCAGCAAATACAGTATGACCCGGAATTACAGAAGTAGGAGGATGACCCCATTTCCGCTTAGGCATTTTGGCCCGAAATCTTGCGCACACCTTACAACCATCACAGATTTTCTGAACCAACTTCATAGAGACAAAGATCCCCCTCCTTTTGAGCTCATGATAGACTTTGTAAGGACCCCAATGAAACTCCTCATGTTCCTCTTTGATTCTGTCAATTAGATCTGTTCCATCTACAAAACCAGTCAAGTTACCTTCCTGTCCGGTCTCCCCCTCCTGCTGTACTGCTGAAACACTCGCTTGCACAGAGC